TATGTCATTTTCTGAGATCTCCATTCTGTTCCACTGATCTATTTGTTTTTTCTTGAACAAATACTAAGCTGTTTTTATTATTAGGCCATCCCCTGCCCTTTATTTTTATTTTTTGAAGTTGACTTTGCTCTTCTATATGCATAAAAAATATCTTGTGAGATATGTAAGGCTGGTGGTGGGCACGCCTCCCCTCCCTAAAGAAAAAAAGAGAAGCCCACAAGACCCACCAAAAATAACTGCTAGGCCCAGCTAAGTTAAAGAATAATCACAAATAACCACACCTGAATATTTACCCAGGTAAGAGAAATTTTGGTCCCTGGAGTCCATACAGGTCACCGGCCCCTCCTGGAATCCACACATACCACCGGCCCCTCCTACTTCTCAACATCAGCCCTAAAACTGCAACAAAGTATTCCTCACTCTTCACGCCAAAGAAACCCCCATCCCCCACCTCTAAAAACATACATAAGCCCGCTCAAAACTTCCAGGGCGGCGCGACTTCTCTGGCCCCTCTCTTGGAACCGGTGAACCTCGCCCGGGAGCGCTCAAATAAAGCCTCGTTGTTTGCCCTTTTCACTCTGCTCGTCTTTCTTCCTCTGGCACTGACCATCCAAAAACCTTACAAGATATATCATACATACCTGAGTGTGTATAAAATACATATGTACTGTTTTAGTGTCGGGTTTAGGGATCTGAAATGTCAGTTCTTGGCGAGCTCATGGCCAAAGAATGACTAGACGCACCAAAGTAAAGCAAACATGAAAATGAGGTTTATTGAGGAGAGAGAGATAAGATTATAAAGCAAGAGCAACATATAGGTTTACAGAGCGTGATACATACACCACAGATGACAACCTGACCCATTGTTGCAGCAAAGCGAGAGCAAAAGGAAGGACCTGGTTATGGTGTGTGCCTTGTTTCATAGTGCCCAGATTGGGACCTCCTGGTGGTACAGGTGTCACCATAGAACCACTTTGACTGGACAGTTGGGAGTTGCATGACCTCCATCTTACTACGCATGCAGTTTGTTCTATGTCACTTTTCAGACTCTGTTGTACCTTTGCTGCTTGGCCCAAGTCCTCTCCATTCTTTTAGAGTTGGTCCGTAGGCTGTTCCCTCTTACCTCAGGTATGGCAGTTGCTCAGGACAGGATTAAGGTGAGGCAGGACCAAGACGGGGCATGGAATCCACCCTTGTCCTTCTTCCCAGGTGGGGCAATTGCACCAAGGCAAGACACCCACTTTTGTCCCTAGGAGACCCAGAATCCTTCACTATCTATCTAACGATAGGATAATAATAAAGCAAACATCAGTGTAAACCACCATCCAGGTCAGGAAATATATTACTAGTCTTCCAGAAGCTGCCCCTGTATCTGCCCCTGACCACAATCCCCATTTTCCCTCCAGGCAACCAATATCCTAACTTGTGATAATTATTACCTTCCTATTCTCTCTAGTTTGACCACCTAGGACACATCTTCCAAAAAAATTGTTTAATTTTGCCTCTTTTGGAATTCTCCCAAAAGAAAATCATACTACGTGGATTTCTTTTTATTTTCTTTAGCTCAACAATATTTGTGAAATTCATCCATGTTGTTGCATGTATGAGGCATACCTTGCTGTACAGCATTTCATTGTATGAGTTTACTATAATTTATTATCCATTTCAGCATTCATGGACACTATTTTTTCTACTTTTTTAGTTTCTTTCAATGTGAAGATTTTTTTATACTAACTCACTGACTCAATTTCTGTAATGGTTACAGAATCTTAATGATTTCCAAACTCTTTTTGAGTCAGTTTAAGAAACTATGGTAGGAGGTATTAGCTGCCAGGCAGGGCCACAGGGCTCCTGAAAGAGTTCAACTACCCCTGATCTTCACCTTAACATCCCTGACAATTACTTAGAAAGACTGGGGAAGGGAAGAGCCAAGTGAGGGAAGAGGCTCAGAATAATCACATGAAGATTGAGAGCGCTTACACAACAGGGAGATTGGTTTGGAAGACTGTCTGGGCAGAGGGACTATTGGTAAACCTCTGTCTAAGAAGGGGCGAGAAAAATTAACAAAGGAAGATGACAGGGCAAAAAGAGGGTGATAGTGGGACAATCTGTGCTCCTATCCTTTGGCAAGAATAGGTAAATTGCTTGCTCCAGGAGGGATCCAAACTTGAACCATCTTGCCAGGGCTGTTCCCCAAAAGAAGACATACTAGGTGAAAGGATCTCGATAGCTGAAGGCTGAGAGTAACCCACTTGGAGCAAGAGCAGGGGCAAAGTACGAAAGAGCTTCTGCTGGAGCTGGATCTTCCACTGGCATCCCAGAGGAGGGCCAGCGCAACAGCCAGTTGGCTTTAGCCACAGAACAGCCAAGGAAAGATTGTAATCACATGTCCATTAGCCATAGACTTTATTCCTTTCCACTCTATACTGCTCTAACTCTGAAAAAGCTAAAACCATAACGTATATCAGAACTTATTTTTTCCGTAGCCTTATGTAATTTTATTTATTTATTTATTCATTCATTCATTCATTTTATTTTATTTTTTTAGAGGCAGAGTCTTGCTCTGCTGCCCAGACTGGAGTGCAGTGGTGTAATCATAGCTCACCGTAAGCTCGAATTCCTGGGCTCATGCGATCCTCCTGCCTCAGCCTCCCAAGTAGCTGGGACTACAGGTGTGTGCCACCATGCCTGGCTAATTTTTTTTTTCTTGTAGAAACAGGGTCTCACTATGTTGCCCAGGCTGATCTCAAACTCCTGGCCTCAAGCGATCCTCCTTCCTTGGCCTCTCAAAGTGCTGGGATTATAGGCATGAGCCACCATGCCCCTCCTGTAGTTTTATTTTTGAGTCCCCAAGTCCCCATACTGATTGGCAGCAGGAATCAATATATAAAGCAATTATATCAATCAATATATAAAGCAATTCCAAGCTTACTGCCCCCCCCCCCAGTCCCTGGAGTGTTGTCTAAATTCTGAGAGGCTTTGGTAGCACTAAAGCATCATGGGAGATAGCTGGTCTTTGGGATTGCCATCTAAGCTCCAGTCTTCATTCTAATCAAGTGACTACTGTCTTCTTTTCCCTGACAGCAAGACCTCTTTCAGTCCAGCAATTCACCTCTTACACGGGAATTTGTTTGGATCTGTGCCAAGTTCAAGCGCAGGTGAAGTTGTGATGCCACCCTCAGTAAACACTCTGGCATTTCTGCTTTGTTCTTACATTGGGCTGGGCACAAGGAACTCCCGAGCTTTGTGACTTTCCCAGGCCCTCCCTGAGAAAGAACACACTGGTCCCTTGGCAATCAGATCCCCCAAATTTCTTGAGGTGTTTTAGCACCCGGCTTCTCCTAACTTGCTCTGGAAAGAAGGCAGAGCAAGGTCAATTCTTGGGAACCCACCAGCATCTAAGTTCTCTTGGTATTTTCATCTCTCTCTTTATTCTTGCCTAGTCTAGTGAATTTTATCTAATCTAGGAGTGTGAGGGTTAGGGACCAAAAAAAAAAAAAAGTTTATAATATTCTTTGAAACTGACTGTACTGTATATAAGCCTTTCATTTCTATTTTTTTTCTATGTCCCCCTGATGGCTAGGCTTTTGAAACTGAGATCTGATCATTGACTCTAACCATCTACTGGGCCATTCTCCCTTGAAGCCAGGAAAACTACAAAGTCTCACTGTCTGAATCACACAGTGTTTCATGAAGTAAAAGTAGAATTTTACCCAGTGACAAAACTTTTCAGCAAAACTTACATCTAACTGGACACTCTTCTTTAGGACATAAAGAGACTGCCCCATCTTCCCATCTTCCTGTCTCCAAAAGAGAAAAAAAAAAAAAAATCAACCAACCACTCCACAATAAGTCACAAAAAGGGAAGAGGGGTGCTTGGGTGCACTGGTTCCCATTAATGGTTTGCTAAAGGTTGTCCTGGTTTTTGACCAAGAAAGGGACGCTGCTACTCACTCTGATCAAACTAAGGTTGGGTTGGTCTTTAAGACAGGACTTTAGGCTAGAACCATGTTATTCATTTAGATTCTTTAGGACCACGTTTCTTGGAGGTTGCTTCCTAAGTGTTTATTGAATTAACCAGAAGAGCAAGCTGAAAGCAGAGACAATTGCTCCAAAGCGGTTCAGAGGCAAGTAGTTTAGCAATACAGTTGTCCCTCAGCAGGGACAACTGTCCTCTTTGGGGAATTGGTTCCAGGACCTCCAGTGGATACCGAAATCCACAGATGCCAAAGTCCCTTATATAAATTGGTGTAATATTTGCATATAACCTACGCAATCCTCCTGCATAGCTTAAATAATCTCTGGATTAGTTATAATACCTAATACAATGTAACTACCATGTAAATAGTAGTTACACTGTATTGTTTAGGGAATAATGACAAGAAAAACATCTGAACATGTTCAGTTCAGATACAACCATCCATTTTTTTTTTTAATATTTTTGATCTTTGGTTAGTCGAATCCACAGATGCAGAGCCCACGGATACGAAGGGCTGACTCTACTTTAGCTACTGGTATCAGTACAAATAAAGACCTATCACAGATGAACGGATAAGCTCTGCCCTGCCCTAAGTTAGCCAGTGAGGCCCGTCTTTGTCAGATTTCCCGGAACCTGTTTTCCTGTGTGTCTGTACAATGGGAGAATGCAAGTTCAAAGAGGGCTTTGCACAGTCTCACGATGCCAATTCTTGCTTTTATCTGCAGGAAGGGCCACTTGATTAGTAGTTTGTGCCCATAGCAATTGGGGGAAGAGCATACGAATTGTAAATATTTGAACATTACCTTTTTTCCTGGTCTAGACGGCAGAAGACCCAGAACATCACAGCTGTAAAAGGTACTTGGCTACACAGTTACTGAGGGCCTCTAGGTGAGCTGGACACCTCACTGGCCACAGCCCACACATGTTATTGTAGAAAGAATACTGGGGGTGCTAGCAATTTGGTGAATATTAGGTAACCTCTCTCTACTTCTTTATTTCTATCCATAAGAAAAGACACACACACTTTTGTTGGTGTTTATTATTTACTTACAGTTACACTTGTCACACAATTACTAGTTTACTTTTACCAAACATGCAGACTTTTTGGAACATCTGGAGTCTAGAGCTCACAGTGCAGAGTTTTGTGAAATACGGTGCCTATGAGAATTTTCCCACGGTACGTAGAAGCCACAGAGGTGCCCTGAAGCACGGAGCCATTATTAGCATACACGGTGCTCACTCTGGGATTCTCAGAGAAAATATTCTGGATGCGGAGTACCTGTCAAGAAAAGACCACTCATTAGTACACTATGTGAGCAAACAGCTATCTACTGATGCTTTCCTTCCAAAATATCCCAGGATGAATCTATTTTTCAGAAACCAGTAAGCTAAAAATCTGTATATCTTCAATAAAATGTCCTTCTGATGAAAGTGCTAATGTCCTAATGACATGCACCAGAGTGAACTGGTTATTCCTCAATACATGGCTGGTACAATGTTGACAGTTTGGGCGTCCCCTAAAGAAGGAGGTAAGACCCAGTTGGGGCTCTTATTTAATGTGGTCGGTGGTCCTCCCTCAGTGGCAAGAGTTTTGCCTTTGAGCCTATAGCGTGGGGAGAGAAACATGGGACAAAATGATGAGGGGACACCCGGGTAGCCAAGTGGTAGCCAGCAGTGTCACAGCTGGAGCCCTCCCACCGCTGCAGAGTGTCTCTGAAGTGTAAAGAAGCCATGCTACTTTAGAATTCCATCTGGCACATCACTGACTGGTGCTGTTACTAATCCCCAGGATTAACACACTTAACTTTGCTGATCAGTAAATATTTGAGCACTCAGGTTTCCTAATAGCCTGAAGGAAGTTCACTCAAACAGACTACGATGAGAATGAAAGCAAAACAATCAGAAATTCATGACTCACAAGTCTATATTGGCATCTCTTATTAGAATAGAGTTTATTCTTTTCTTTTTTTATCTTAAGGGAGATTCTACAACTTCCTCTCAGGTTTCTTACACAAAAATACTCAAGCTTGGATCTCGTGTAGAAAACAGGAGAGTGAACAGAAAAAAAAAAGGTATCAATAATTGTGAAGAAAGAAGTTTTATCTAAAATAAACAAATGATTAAACTTGAAAGTACATATATAAAAAAGATCCTAAACAATTTTCCCATCATCCTATGGATCATATTTCCATTCCTTTCAAGCAGACATTATGGTTGGGCTTTTGTAGGAACATTATACCTATGACTTCTAGGGCCATGTGTGTGAGGCAAGAATAGCTTGCTAGTTTAGGGTAAGGAGTCTTCAGGTTCTCAGCTCAAGCTATAGCATTGTTTCTTTTTATATTTCCTGGTGTTCTTTTTTAAGAAGCCATGACTAATATGTTAATAAAAGAGAAATATCTTATATTTTTTAACTGAAGTATAGCAATATTTGAAGTAGAAATAGCTTGTATTTTCTAATTTACCCAGTGGGCCAATTAGTAGGTTAGAATTTTTTGTTTCTTTTTTTTTTTTTTTTTTTTTTGAGACAAGATCTCTGTGGCTCAGGCTGGAGTGCAGTGTCACAATCACAGCTCACTGCAACCTCGACCTCCTGGGCACAAGGGATCCTCTTGCCTCAGCCCTCCAAGTAGCTGGGACTACAGGGGTATACCACCATGCCCAGCTAATGTTTTAAAAATGCTTGTAGAGGTGGGGTCTTGCTATATTGTCCAGGCTTGTCTTGAACTCCTGGCCTCAAGCAATCCTCCTGCTTTGGTCTCCCAAAGTGCTGGGATTACAGGCATAAGCCACCATGCCAGGCCTGGATTAGAATTTGAATCAGAGCTTCCCAGCTCCCCAGATCTGGATTCAAACATTCTATCTTTCTTCAAACTGCACCCTTTCAATGAGGCTACCCTGATCTCTGTATTTAATAATAAAACCTGCCCATCCTCCTGCAGAAATCCTGATCCCCTTTTCTCTGATGTACTTGCTATAGAATTTGCCACCTACAAACTTACCATGTAATTTGCTTATTTCTTATGCTTATTGTTCATTGTTTCCCCTCCCTAAGAGAAGGGATCTTTACGTGTTTTGTTTTCTGATATATCCTAAGCATTAGAACAATGTCTGGCACATTATACGTGCTCAATAAATTGTTATTAATAAATCTCGGAGTATGTGTCCCAAGAATTTATAGCTATGTTTAAATTTATTTGAGTTTTTTTAATTCTTAAACTTAATGCCATAGAAAATTCAATGCTGTATGCTATCGTTTTTAATGCCATAGAAAATTCAATGGCTTATGCTACTGTCTTTGAAGAGATACTTTTAAAATAACAAAAACAACATCTATAAAGTAAGACATTCTTCAATGCCATCATATATGTTACAACCTGCAGGGAAAAACTCATTTCGTTTTGAAATGACAGTCATTTAAACCCTTTTATTTGAGCTTCATGTTGGCTAGTGTGAAAGAAGATGGTTCCATACACAACTCTCTTTGCCTAACTGCACAACCTACTGAGAGTCTACCTCCTGACTGGAAATATATCACAATCTGGGTCAATATGAGTAATCAAGCTCATGTTTTTCCATTACTACCGATAGCAAATACAGCCCTTGCAGGGACAGGACATGTTGTCAGGCATTGATATTAAATTGACACCTGGTGGCCTGAAAGGGTTAGTGAACCATATCTCCATACCTGCCCAAAGCTTTTCTCTTATGTAGAATTTGTTCAGTTCTGCAACATTAAATGGGACCCGCTTAAATTCTCCCAAGTCACCCTGACAAATTGTACATTCTGGTAGCTTTGCCTATGAACTCAGAGACGTCTAGGAACTTACTTCTGATCCTGGAGGATCCTCAGGGTTATAGAAGAACAGCTTTATGGCATTAGGATGGCATCCTGCCCAAATATCCCCCGTGGCGGGATCGACAGTTAAGTTATCCGAAAAGGTGCTCAACGGTATTACCTTGCAACAAAGAGGGAATAGTGAAGACATTGTCTCAACCATTATTCTCTTTTTTCCCTATTCTTCCCCTCCCACCAGCTCCGTATGGTACTGGAAATTGTTATCTTTAGGGGACTTGGAGTACAAGCACAATCTCACCCGCATTGCTCTCAAATAGCCATATTTCTCTCATTCAGGGAGCACATTCCTGGGTCAAGCACGGGCCCTGACATAAGAGGCCATGTTGTGTGGACCCGCCAGGGAACTTGTACCTTCAGCTGAGTTAAATCCCAGTTGTCATGTTTTTCCATTATGTGAATCTTTTTAGCTGCCACATCAGACACATAGACATACCTTTGAAGTAAATAACATTTACATTTAAGCAAGTGGTAATGAGAGCTAACACTCAACTTTTGTTTTGGAGAAGAGGTACAAAAAGTCACACTAGTTCAAAATACCACTGTAATCCCTTTCTAAACCACAGTAAAAGAAGATGATTGAGTGGTACTTTTAATACCCTTGATGTGCCTTAAACAGGTTTTGAATGTGAGCTATGACTATAATGAAATTGGTGTTTCTAGATGACATATAGGTTTAGTCTTATTACTTTAGAGTCACGATTCTTTTCCTTAAATTGAATGGAGGTAAATGGACCTCTTATAAGGCCAGAAGAGTGTATACTTCTAACAATTGGTGCATAAGAAGAAGTGCCAGATGACCGTAAAGTGCAATCACAATAATTTTTGAAAAGATGAAGGACACTTAGAGTTGTTTTCCACAGGGATCATCTCTATTCACTATCTCAAATTTGTATTTTAATATTCAAGGTACTTCTCTTTTTTAAAAACCTTCAAATTTTAAACACTTATACCATGACGCTGTTATGAAGTATTTTTCATAACATTTCATGCTGCCTTAAATAGTGTTTTCTCATTGAATAGTCTGCTGTCGTAAATCAGTAAGTCTGAAACTTACACAATCGCTGTGCCCAATCTAAGGTAGACTTCCCTCTCTCATAGGAGTCTTTGAGTAACTGAACTTAGTAAAGTGGTTAAATACCTTCTAGCCTCACAAGGGGCAGAGGTACTGCACATTTATCCTCCTTTTTAGTTTGTTAGGAAAGTGTTTCTAGAGTCATGTAAAAATTTGGAACAAGGAACTTATATCCTTGAGTCCAAATTCTCCATTTACTGGGAGGAACCTGAAGTCCAAGAGGACAAATGATTTAAGATCACCCTGGCCCACACCTGATCCTTCTACACATACATTGACTATTTAAGCCCAAGGAAGTAAACACCTCTTAAGAGAAGGAGTCCATCGAAGTGTCAAGGGCAAAGGATAGAAAAATGTATAAAAGAGCTTACTTCTGGTCTGGTGAGACTGTGATTCCATTGGCAGAACTAAATCCTTCAGCCACCACTTTGACCCCTCTTGGGCTGTAGAAGAGAACGGAACTCCACTGAAGATCCAAAATCATCTCAAAAAGTATCAAGAAGAAGGTGGTAAAATAGTGATCTCTGGTGGCATAGAATTGTTCTGGTCCAAGAACCACAATGTCATTCACACTGAAGTCAAAAAGAGAGAGAGAGAGACCCACAAGGTATTTAAATATCCTGATTGTTGTCAAAATCACTAATCTGTACATAGACAAGTGAGTGCATCAATTCGATAAAGTATACATGAACTAATGTGGATTAAAGAATTCCACAGTCATGATTTTGCATTGCCTTGATGGGTTTTCTTTAGCCATTTGTTATTTTCTTACTTTCCCTTCCACAGAAGTCAGTAAAAAGAAATAAATACACACAAAAACCTCAAACTCCAAAATCTGTTGACGTGTAAACATTGATAATGGCCATCGGTGGCAGTTACGGTGCAGTTCACTGATGGCTATGGTTTTCATTCTTCAGGAATCAGACTTCCCCCATCCCCTTGAAGTTAGCCACAGCCACATGACTTTGGCCAGTGACATGAAGTAAGGTGTGTGGCTCCTGAAGACTTTAAGAGCCAGTGCTTGCTCAACCATGGTTCCCTCACGTTTCCATAGTAACAAGCAACTTTTCTGATGACAGAGACCGTGGTTCTCCTAGGGCCCTAAATGAGGATAATATGAAACTGAATCTCTGAATCACCTACAATAAATACACAGCATGAGTGAGAAAACCAAACCAAACCACAATGAACCTTTGTGGTTTTGAGCCACTAAGATGATGGAGGTTTTCTTTTCTGTTATTGTAGCATAACCCAGTCTATCTTGATCTTTATATTTTCTCTGAGTAGATGGGATTATGGGTGATAGTCTTTCTTATGTTCTTCAACACCACTAACATTTGTAGATGGAGAGCAAGTCTTACTCTTACAACCAGTAAGAAAATAAAGGCTTTTCTGTTTTTGAAATGAAAAAATAAAAAAAAGGACTTGAAAAAATGTAAAAAAAAAAAAAAAAGGATTAAACATTTTTAGATTAACTTTCAGGAAAGGAAAATTTGGATGACTTAGGAAATACTTTGAGGTTTTAACATATAATGATTTTTCCCAAGGTCATTATACATCTGAGCTACTCATCCGCTTAGGAGTTTCTTCCGACAAAAAGTATTCCCTGACATCATACATTAAGTTAAATTCCCTCACAATTTTTCTTCCTCGGCACTTCATTATGCCCCTGGTAAGTGCTTACTCAATGCGTATATCAAGGCATCTCTTGATCTCCTTTTAGATTCTTACAGCCATACCTACCTTGTTCTAGCTGCTACTACGTACGTCAGCCAGTTCAGCTGAGGTCTAACATACTTTCCACAGGTGCAGCCAAGCAGGGCCTTACCTCATGCCTGCTGTAGGACTTTTGCCTCCCACTTCCAGACTTCCATGTTGATGTGAAGGCACAAAACACCACCAGACTTGACTTGTACACACATCACCAAAAATGTGGGGGACTTAAGGCCTCTTGAGGCAAAGCTTTGACTGATGGCAGATGGGGCTAGCAGATAAACTCTTCTCCCTTTCTTATCTTGGCCAGATTGTCCTGAAATGAGGCTTATGTTGCTTACTGGAAGATAATCTCATCATTTCGAGTTGTCCGTTGCACTTAGCAATGGCTGGTTTAATAAGGCATTTGGTATGGCTTTTCCCCCTTTGTGAGTCTCCTAGGCTGCCATAACAAAATACCACAAACTGGGTGGCCTAAAACAACAGAAATTTATTGTCTCATAGTTCTGGAGGCTAGGAGTCTAAAATCAAGTTGTTGGCAGGGCCACGCTCCCTCTGAAGGTTCTCTGGATCTTTCCTCAGCTCTTCCAGCTTTTGGTAGTCCCAGGCATTCCTTGGCTTATAGACATATCACTCTAATGTCAGTATCCATCTTCACATGGCAGTCTCACTGTGTATCTGTCTTCTTATAATGACGTCAATCATATTGGATTAAGGGTGCGTCCTATTCCAGTATGACTTCATCTTAACTAATGACATCTGCAACAACCCTATTTCCAAGTAATCTCACGTTCTGGAGGAATTGGGGGTTGGGATTTCAGCATATCTTTTTGAGGGGACACAATTCAATCCATAACATTCACCCTTCCTCACCTCAGGCTGGTCTCTCACTTCTGCTTCCTGGGACTATACTTCCTAATAAAGTGGTCACATACTAGGTTTTCCCTTGGGCTGTGCTTTCTGGGAAACTCTTCCTGTGTGGTCATATGCTAATGCATTTGATACTCACAATCCACTAGTTAAGTAAGTCAGGCCAAAGAGAGAATTCCCACTTTGCTGAGGAAATTGAGGTGCAGATTAAGTGACTTATCCACAGTTTCCCAGCAACCCCATGGAAGTCCTGTTCTCCACTACAGCCTCAGAACCCCACACAATATGTTATGGGAGGAGTCCAACAACTTCAACTTCTCTTACTTCTTCAGTCCTCTGCATTTGGTGCCCCCAAATTCTATGGGGAGCAATCATATATGATGTTAAGAAAGAGAGCAAAGGAGAAGAGATGAACTTAATTTTCTTTTCCTATTTTTCTCTCCCACAGAACAGTCTACTATTTTAGAACCAGTGTTTTAGTGTAGAGCCCATTTTATAAAAGACAAATTCTTCATTGTTTGCCACAGCCTTTAAACAGGCAGCCTACACACTGAAAAACTTTTTATTTTTCTAATCTCAATAAGAAAGATGTTCTTCACTGCAATTGAGAGCACAGCTTTGAATTCAGATGGACCTAGGTTTACAGCCTGGTTCTGCAACTTATGAATTGTGTGACTTGGGCAAGTTACCTAGCCAAAAACTTAAGACTCAGTTTACTCATGCCTATTTCCAAAGGCTGCTGTGAGAATTAAGTTAAATTAAGCATTTTGGCATAGTGCCTAGTACATACTCAATGCTTTAAAAATGTAATTTTTGTAAGCACTCAAGGGCTTTTAAAAAATTCCACTCTAAAGCTCTGATTGAACAAACAAATGGCCCATCTGGAGGTTGGTTGTAACACACAGTGGGTGAGGCTCACAGAACATAACCTACCGGGACAACTAGAAAAGGGTGTATGTAGGTGTTTAAAGAGAACCCAATAGTAGGCATTGAGTTGCTGTGGTAAAGAGGATGGAATTAGAGCTGAGAATCTAATTGAGCACCTTTATAGGATTAAAATGCTTTTCAACGAGTTGAAAAATACAGAGATATTCAACACTGAATACAGCAATTTCTAGTGAGGTGCTGGGCAGCGTCACCATGGGTATCTTTAGAAAGCTTTAGAAAAATTGCTACAAAACAAAAGTTTAAAATGCCTGCTGAACCAAAGAAAACAAAGCACACAGCAAGGGTGCAAAATAAATAGAAGTAAGTCATACTTTAATTCCATACCTTGTTAAAAGTTCGTGTTTTATAGTTTTCAGGTATGTGAGAGAACGTTCTTGTTCCTCAAATTTAAATATCTCCACAGTGGACTTCATGTGGGGATGATTCACAACATAAAGATACACAGTATAGTCTAAATGGAAAAAAGGAACAATTTTCAAGAAGTTTACTTCTATTGCAACCGACCGACACTAGACTTGTTTTAAAACTTGGTCACTCACTGCCAAGGATTTTCTTCTCATATATCTTGCATTTGACCCCCATAGTCCACCTGATAGGTGAGTCAAATGCCAGACTCCCGATTTTATTGAAGAAGTGGCAGCTCAGAAGGTGAATCATTCATCAGCGATCTCACCACCACCAAGCTGCAGAGCCAAGCACAGATGTTTCACAATGTTCTGTTCAGCCTCATCCGCATGCCCTCTCCAACAGGAAGCTATGGGATGTAATGGTGCGTAAGCATGCATGTGGTTTCCCTGGAAAGCTTTTCAACAAGAGAAGTGAGTGCAAAAAAACAAAACTTTGCTGAGAATTTGTGTGTGTGTGGTAATGGTCTACAGTGCAACAGGAGCTCAAGAAATGTCAGAGCGGTGTAAACACCTTAAAATAAGCAACATTTCTCAGCCAGAGAATGAACTTCTGATACACGTCAACCACCCAAGGTTGCAGTAACAACATTTAGTGAACTCAGTGGATAAGAAATGTAAATAGAAATGCAACAGAAAACAAACTAGCTAATTCCAGGTATTACCAACCTCCAGAATGTTCACCTCCCCATTTCATATTGGAAAGTGAAGTGCTGTGAGCAGGATTGAGGGTAGTAATTTGGCCTCTCTGAGCCTTAAAGGGTCTGGCCCCATCTTCCCACCGTATGAGTGACTTATTCTGTATTCATCTTCCCTACTTCTTTTCTGGATGTAGTTTCCAAGTGTGCAATTGAACAAGCCCAACCTCTGATATGTAAAGTTTATATCCAGGGCCTCTGAAACACATTGGGCACTTTTATGAAAATTAAGGAAAGGTGCTTCCTCACAAATGAATCTTTCTTCTGGTCTGACCCAATTCTGTTCCAGGGCCCAGGGCTTGGCAAACAGAACATGGGTTGGATTTCAGCTCCAACACAGACCTTTAACCAGACACTCTTTTGTGGGACATAATCATATGTGCTGTCCTGGTGTTACTTCTTCTAGTGCCTCTCCTAAACCCCTCCTGCCATATAAGATATGCTTAGTGAGAATACTTTTGTTCTCTATCTCCTCATTCCATCCCTATTTCTATGTGTAATATTTTTACCTGAGGAATTAAATATATAAATAAGGGAGATGACTAATAAATAAGCTGTCAATCATAATATACTCAACTTCTGGAAGCCTTATTATATGACTGAGGGTTAATCTATAAACTGGTCCCATCTCAAAAAAAAAAAAAAAAGCTAAAACCCAAACATACCTCCACCCCCACGTCTAATAGTATCCCATGTAAGCAAATAGCTCCAGGTAAATCTGATCACTTATACCTTTTCCAGTGAAGCATCTTATGTCCGGTACAGTGTCAGGCAAAAACATAGTAGCTTTTGAGTTATCTCAACAGCACCTAGAGCCCTAATCACACCCTAGTAAAGACACAGGATTAGAAATGAAACCGCCTGGGTTCCAGTTCTGGCTCAGCCATTTACTAACGACACAAACGAAGTCACACTTCACTGCATCTCTCTAAACTTCATTGCATCCACCTGTAAAATTGAGTAGTACTCTCCACTCTGACTGTCGTATAGGGTTCATTCATTCATTCATTTAACACGTATTCATAGAGTACATAGTATGCATCAGACACTGTTCTAGGCTTTGGGAATCCAGCAATGAACGAGTCACATATGCTTTTATGCTGATTATATTCTAGGAAGGAAAACAAGGAGGAAAAATTAGTAAATAAACTAAAAACAAAAAAGTATTCAAGTGGGGAGACACCTTCATAGAGTGAAGAGTGACAGTTAAGCTTGGATCTGAAGATGAGAAGGAGCTTGCTATCCCAGGATATTTGAGATTGGAGAGATATTTGAGAGGTAAATTCAACAAAATATTATAATGAGTTGACTGAACGGGTCAGGGAGAGGAGAAGTGCTCAGGTTTTTATTCTGAGAAATAAAGACACTGTATATGAAAATGCTTTGCAAACTGTAAACCAATGAAAAATTGTTAGTTACAATTATCTGTTAAAGCAGGGCTTGCTAAGTAAATAAAAAGCATAGATAAGAGTTCAGAGGAATATTTAACCTACTTAATAGAAGAATATTCAAGCATTTTTAAAGGTACTCATGTATTTAAAAATGAATAAATCTGTGTTGGTATAGACTAAAGGAACTGAACAAAGATCTGCTGGATAAGTGTATAGAAATAATTATTAATCAATCTTTTTTAGTCATTAAAACCATTCTCAGCAAACTTATACTTAACAACATATTATAATCCCACTGTGTATCTGGAAAAATTAAAACAACGTTTCTTTAAAAATTCTGAATTTCAACACTTCAATTTGGCCTTCCTTTCATGTAGTTACTATTAGTGAGGTTTCACTGTTCTTATTTTTCTTGGTGCTGTAGAGACCCACAACATTTAAAAATTAAATTTGTTTGAAATTGTGAACTATAGACAAGTCTAAAATAACATTGGTGAAAGTCTTTTTCATACAAACAAATAATGAGAAAATTCACTGCCAGCAAAACCTATGCTATAATAGATATTAAAGGAAGTTCTTCAGATAGAAGTGATATGATACCAGACACAAGTTTGGACCTACACAAGGGAATGAAGAACTGCTAAAAATAGTAAATATATGATTAATATAAACACTTTTTAAATTGTTAATTTCTTTAAAAGATGACTGAATAAAGCAAAAATAGTTACAATAAAAAACACAATGTATTAATAACTATACAATATTTTATAATATCTTTTTTGAGATAAAATTCACACATCATTAGTTCAAAGTTTTAAAATGTACAATTCAGTGGGTTTTAGTATACTCACAGAGTTATGCAACCATAATCACTATCTAGTTCCAGAACATTTTCATCACCCAAAAAGAAATCACCTACCTATTAGCTGTCGTTCTTCATTTCCCACACACCCTGACCCCTGCCAACCATTAATCTACTTTCTGTTTATGAATTTGTCTATTCTGGATACTTCCTATAAATGGAATACAATATGTGGCCTTTAGTGACTGAATTCTTTCACCTAATATAATATATACAAAGCTCATCCATGTTGTAGCATGCACCAGTATTTCATTCCATTTTCTTGCCAAATAACATTCCATTGTATAAATACATCACATTTTGTTTATATATTTATCAGTTGATGGGTATTTGGATTATTATCACCATTTAGGTATTACAAATAATCCTGCTATAAACATTTGTTACAAGTTTTTATGTGGATGTTTTCAATTCTCTTGAATATACATGTAGAGTTGTTGGATCATATGGTAACTATGTTTAACATTTTGAGGAACTGCCAAAATGCCTTCCAAAGTGGCTACGTCATTTCACAATCCCACCAATAAAGTATGAGCATTCCAATTTCTCAACCTCCTTACTGTCTGTTATTTATTTATTTTTTTAATTTTTGCCATCCTAGTGGATATTAAGTGATATCTCATTCTGGTCTTGATTTGCATTTTCCTAATGACTAAGGGTGTTGAACATCTTTTCATGTGCTTATTGGCCATTTGTATACCTCTCTCATTCTTTGGGTTGTTTTTCACTTTCTTAATGGTGTCTTTTGAAGCATAAAAACTTTTATTTTTAATGAGTCTAATTTATCTATTTTCTATGTTATGTTTTTTAATGTCACACAGTTGTTTTCAAAGGACCCTCAGTTTATATCTCAGACTTCTGAGAACAGTATTCAAACAGGTTGTGACAGTCAAATAAGAAGAAAAGTGGATAGGAGGCATAGAAGGAGACCACGTAGACCTGAAATTACTAGTCTTCTTTCTTTGATGTGACCTTTAAAATGTTTTTATACACATTTAGCATGTCACAAATATACATCTTTATGATAAAATAGCATCTTCCCTCTTCCTTTAATATAACTATTGCTTAGTTGGGGATGAATGGTTTTTATTTCCCCCTTATCCTTAAAGCATTCAGGCTTTACCTTTGTCGATGAAAATACTGATCCCATGTGGATTAAATAATTCTTCGTCAAATCCATCACTGATTTTTAGTGCTTGTGCCCTTGGGTTTTGCTCATTCAGATCCATCAAGAAGATTTTTCCTGACTCATCTGGTGCAAAGTCTGGAAGGCCTGGATATTTTAATCCCTTAAAAAATAGAGAATAAGTATGCACATGTATACATATCAAAACAACACTTTCATACAGAAGCTAAAATCTCAAAGCTAAACAGAAATGTTCAAAGTTCTAAATTTCCTTTTGATTTTTGGGATTTTTCATTCTGTCAGCTGTTGCCATTATCTGATCTGGGGCCATTATCTGATCTGGGAGGTTACCAATGCCATGTAAGGCATTGGCCGTGAATATGGAAGAAACATATTAAAGATAAGGAAGAACTTTTAATTTAAAGAGGAGGAGTTAAGCCAAAAATTATAATGGAAGAGACTAGGCTGCATTACTGTGTGTGAATTCCTTGGCCTGCCTGAGCCTCACATTTCTCATTTATAAAGTGAGGAAGTTAAAATGTGTGGTTGTAAGATTCTTTCCAGTCCTGATATTCTGTAATTAATTTTCCTGAAAGCAGATAGAATGGGTGCATGGTTTAATTTTATTGCTCCCATCCCTACGTTGATTATATTATATAGTGGCAAATTGTAGAATCAGCTAAGAATTAACATGGGGTGCCAGTTATAAAGTTGACTACTTTTGACCTATTTCATTTCTATAGGCATGTCTGAATAGTCTGACATGAATGCTTTCCTCTAAATATTGCAAAAAGTTTATTTCAGTAACTCGAATGGTGTCCCCTTCTATTAGTAGGACCAGGTGTTTATCAACCAACAATAGGTACACTGAATGCATTGAGCTTTTGCCGCATCCAAGTTCACTGTGTCAAACCTTGGGGTTGGTTTATTCTAAACCAATCACAAAACAGTCCACTTCCTCCCCATGTCCATCCCCTATCACTCTGATATATATCAATGTCAACAACTTTAGATCTTCTCCTGTACCCTTATTTCCATTTATAGCCAATTCAAATTTTATCCTTCCTAATCCACCTTCTCTTTCTCTCTCCCTCTCTCTGCCCTTTCTTACACACACATGTGCACACACATGTATGCACTTATAATAATACCATTCTTGGCCCTTCCACTGCCCCCCTCCTTGGGTTAGTCAACCTTTTCTGAACAACCCTAACCTACACCTTCAATCTTTTCCTAGAACAGTCCTGCAGTGCCCAAATCTAATGCACCAGTGTTGACTGGGGGAAAACTAGACAACACCGAGAGAAAACTAGGTTTCCCCCAGTCAACTGGCATTACTGAAGCCCATCAGAGAAGGCGCTGTTCCTTCTTCCATTCTCTTTAAGTCAGCACACCTGCAGGAGGGATTGGCATGCCCCTAGCCACAAACTTCTGCTTCCAGACCTCCATTCTATCCTTACCACCCTTTGCGTCTTCATCAGATTCTCTACCCTGGTCTAGCTCTCATATAAGGTGAGTCTAAATTCAAGTTGAAAAACTCCACTACAAAGTCATCATCCCAACTTCAGCCAGACATTGAGTATTGTTCATTCTAACAGGCAATCTATTGGATTTCTCCAAGTATCTGTTCTAAATTTATTTCATTATCTTCCAGAACCCGTATCTTCTTTCTCTTTAGTCTGAATGGGTGACTTTATCTCCTACTTCTCTGAAAAGACCATGTCACTTAACATGAATTTCCCTGATTCTCTCCTTTCTGCCTCAGTAATTCTTATTCTGCTTTATTTATTCTCTTTCTTTATCCCTCTTTCCTCAAGGAAGGAGGATCCCTCTTCTGTTCTTAGGTTAACTCCCTCACCTGCTTTCTTGGTTCCCTATTCCCCAGGTCTGTCTTTAGAAATTACACCCTTTTTCTCTTGCTTTTCACTCATTTTTCACCAACGGTCCCTTCTTTGGCCTCAAAAATTGCTCAAGTTTCTCCTTCCTTGAAACAAATCTCCTAATTTTATTGCCCCTATATATATATGTGCATTTAGCTCTCTTCTCTTAACTATCAAATTTCCTAAAAGTAAAAAAAAATTCTTAGAAACATCACTTAATTTTGTTGCCTGATTCTAATTGCTCCAATTCTCAATTCCCTGGAATCAGTATTCTATTCCTATGTGTCTACAGCTAACACCCCTGTAAAGGTGATATTGTTGGTTTCCAAATTACTTTATTTTGATAACCTTTCTACTTTCCTTATCTGCTTCTCTGTGGCATTTGACGCTATACCTCCTTCTTTCTTGTCAAAAAGTCAGAAGTAGAGTTTCTAGCTGGAAGTCCTGCTTCTCTTCCTGCCTCTTGGATTGCTTCCTCCTTCTGTCCTCATCCCTTGCTCCTCCCTTCTTGCTCCATACTCTTTCTTTGAAGATCTTATTCATAAGTTTTCTGGTATTTCCTCTATACCAAGGACTTTCAAATGTGCACATTTACCGGTAACATTTCCTTGGAGTTCTAGCTTACATTCCCAACTTTTTCCTAAAAGGCAGCTCAAAATCAACTAGTCAAAACCAAAGTCAATATTCTCCCCTCAAATCCTTCCTTTCATTTATATTTATTCTTCTTAGTTAAGGGCATCACTATCCTCCCCAATGCCAGACCATGAAATTCAGTCTTCAAGTCCACCATTTCCCCCATAGCCAATTTGTTACCAAGCTCAGTGGCTCAGAGAATAATGGCACTGGAAAAATTATGCATATCAGTAGCATCTAAGCCCACACCTTCCCTTTCACATGAGGGAAATGAGGACTAAAGAAGTGATTTGTTAAAATCACCCAGATCATTAATTGTTCAGCCTCTTTCTGCCACATCATAATCAAAGGTCTGAAAGCAAAGAATATTGCTCAGGAAGGCAGCTCACTGCAGAACATTACAGCAAGTACCTTGGTAGTGTGGGGGCATGTGGGGGCATGTTAAGGAGTAGAAAGACTGGATGGCCCAGAAATGGAATAATCTGATAGAGAGGTAAGGATGGGGCACTGCAAACAAACTTGACCTAGATGTAGTGTGACAAAGGATGAAACATTTCTGATAAATGGCCTCACACTCACCTGGTTTTCTGTTCAAGGCAGTCAGGTAGGAATTTGTGGCAGCAAATCTATTGTGTGCTAGTGAATTGCAAGCAATTCTTTTGATACCGCTCCCCAGTGAAAGTGGTGAAAGCCACCTGGAGGCATCTTATTTTTCCCAACAGACTACAGGTATATAGGACAGTCATTGAATTCTTCCACTGTCCTCATCCACCAGCACATGCATTCAGTAAGTACTCAAGCACCTGCATAGGTAGTATGTTAGGTGCCGAGCATGGCAATGCATGCTCCAAAGTCCAAGCTTCAAGGATCTTGAAGGCCAGTGATAATACAACAAGCAAGCACATCAGTACTGTATGGTCTATAATAGCGTAAGCCCAGGGGATGTTGGGGACCATTGAAGAGCCACCTCACCCCACAAGACATAGCTAGGGAACACTCTCCTGAGGAAATAAAGCATCACCATAATGAGGCTGCACAGTGAAATAGGAGTTAGCTGGCAAACAGTGAAGAAGGGAGTAATCTTTGAGGCAAAGAGAAGCATGTACCAAGTTCCAAAGCAAGGAAGAAAACACCCTGATTTGCACCTTTAAATAAACTAGAGATATCTATTGCACTGAATTACTCTCTAAATCATCAGCTTCCAAACATCTTCTAGGATAGCAAGTGAGGGTGATAGGAGAAACCAAGGTGAACAAGGTCTTGAATTTATTACAGTGCAGAAAGATTAGAAATAAGCAAAGAACAGAATCCTTAGCCTATGAGTTGTTTGTTCATTTACAAAGAGTTCTATAATTTAGAATTTCATGTTAGCATTTTCTCATAAAATTTTTTGTAATAAAAAATATGTACTTTCTGTATAGCAATGATTCAGAACTTTTAGTTCCAGGGAAAATTTTTAAAAAGCATACTACTATAGGAAGGACAAATATTGTTTGATAACAGCAAAGAGATCTCCTAGTTATAGAATAATTATGTTTAGTGGTCTATTTGGCATAACATTGAGAATCTAAATTGACAACAGAAAATGTAAGTCAACAAAGAAAAAGCTTTTCTAGACCATTTTGCTTTATACTTGATTTTGGAGGAAAAATAAAGAAATAAAACTCCCATACAGACCAGCACCAGAACCAGCACCAGTAGCAGTTTAAAATTCAAATGACAGCCTCACTGTACTCTACTGTGCATACTTAAGAATTTAGAAAATCAGGCTATGATTATTATATATGCCCCTTTTTTGGCCAAAAATATTTAGATTCAAAATTCATGTCCTTAGGTGGCATTTTATTGGCAAAAATAGAAAATTAGACACGCAATTCCAGCAATCAGAATTCACATAGAAAATGTGGTAAATCTACCTTTTCAAAATCTTAATCCCTGTTTCAAGGTGCACTGATTTAACAAATACATGACAATTTTCAACTTCTCATAAATATACATTTTTTTTATTGAAATTTTGTCTTTAGCATAGCTTCCTGATTATCCCAAACCTGTGAAGGTGGTATTGGGAATAAAATGCAGGCTTTTCTCTACTTCTCTTTGAAAGACTTGGAAGGAATGACAGGGAACTAAGATGGAAAATACCCAGGTTTCTGAATCAAGTAACATGGTTTAACATTCGATCCACAAACATTTATGGAGTTCCACACACAGGAAGGCATGGCGAGAGGAGTAAAAGTTAGTGAGAAGATGACTACCAGAAGCTGAGGCCCAGTCAAATAGAGCAAGATGGGGATGGACAGCAACAGGATGGATCTGGAGACTAGCCTAGGAATCGAATGAAAATCAATACACATTTATTGAAACCCTACTGAGCGTGCAACTGCCCACAGGGAGCTGCCCGCTATGGTGCAATCAAAGCTGGGCATGCCTGTGGTGTTCTAATTAGCCCTTCGGAATCCTGTTTTGGCTTTGTTCATCAACTGGTTTACCCAGAAGGGGAATGAAAGGGTAGGGATCCATCTGGCAGCTCTAGCCAACAACATTAATGCACTGTCTATACAGCTATTGATGTGAGCATCAGAGCAGCATGGAAAATACTCACACTGGAGATAAAAGCCAGCCCACTAGGAAGTATATCAATATCTTCAGAGCCATTTTCTGCAAAAGAAGTGTAGAATCAGAAAAATGCATGTATGAAGGCTTCAAAAAGTAAATATCACGGTCCAAACTTTGAACTTCTTTTGGAAACTACGCTGAGGTTTTCAATCATTAACTTGAGAAACTATATTAACTTTCAGGAATCCCACAGGTATGCTACTCTACAATAAAACCTGAGTCAAACTCCTCAAATACTAAATTCTTTTTTTAGAACTCCATTTTCAAGAGAAAAAAGGCAAATAACTAGGAAATAAACTCATATCCTACATTTATTCTTTAAGTAACAATTTCCAGGGCATGTCCTGAGAGATTCAGCTTGATTCCCCATAGTATGCTGCTCAACATTTGGATAACATTTGAAAAGTCCGAATTGTGAACGTCTCTTATAGGCATCTCTGCCAAGCATTCCTTCTCTTCCAATTTGGTCTTGAGGCCTAAAAAAATCTATCACTGTACAATCTTATTGGGAAATTACTGGGTAGTTGTTATAAAAACATTAGGTCTTAGGATGAACTATTGATTATAAATGAATGTGAGTTTGGTTAGCTCTCTTTCTCCTTGAGAGCTGGTTTTGAGCATTTTCCTATGTAAAGAGACATATAATAAGTAAGTTTTGACTGAAAACAGGATGAAAAAGAGGCTATCATGGCTTCAGGTAGCAAGAGAGAGCCACATGTGAGAGAGAATCATGTGCTCTTAAAATGTGATGTTCACACTCTCCCATCAACAGGAATGGTCTTGGCCAGGCACAGTGGCTCACGCCTGTAATCCTAGTACTCTGGGAGGCCAAGGTGGGAAGATCCCTTGAGCTCACAAGTTTGAGACCAGGCTGAGCAAGAGTGAAACCCCATCTCTACTAAAAATAGAAAAATTAGCTGGGCACACACGTGGTGGTGTGCACCTGTAGTCCCAGCTACTTGGGAGGCAAAGGCAAGAGGAACACTTGAGCCCAGGAGTTTGAGGTTGTAGTGAACTATGATGACACCACTGCACTCTACCCAGGGTGACAGAGCAAGACTGTCTCAAAAAAAAAAAAAAAAAAAAAAAAACAAGGTAAGGTCTATATTCTCTCCTCTGGAGCCTAGGTGGAACTTTGTCACTGCCTTGACAATGGAATGAGATGAATGTAATGACACATGACAGCCAAGATTAAGTCATAGCCATGGCTGTCACTGGCGCATGCTCGCTTTCGCGCTCTCTCCCCACTTTCTCTCTCTTTCTCTCACCATCTCTAGCTCTCTCAAGGCGTGCACTTTGGAATCCCTGAACCCAAATGTAAGAAGTCTGGTGACTGTAAAGCTACAGAGAAGAGACTACAGAGAGACCGGACAAGGTGGAGAGAGATGCCAGAGCAGCCGCAGATGACTCCAGAGCCGAGCCTCTGAGTTGCCCTCACTAATGCAGGTGGAACAGGGTGAATTGTCTCCACTGCACCATGCCAAAATTGAAAATTCATGAGCAAAATAATTATTGTTTTAAGTTGCTAAGTTTTGGGGTGGCTTGTTACACAGTCACAGTAATTGGAACATGTGGGGAAATGGTTATCCGGGGTGGCAGGTTACGAGGGTGTCAAAAGGCAATTGGGGGAGGACAGGTTAGAATATGAAAAGGAAAAGTGGAACAAAGCCAAAGAAAATGCAAATTTGAATCAATAATACGGTGAGCAATAGGCATTGAAAACTAGAGAACAGAGAAAGATTTCGTTGTCTTCACTGTACAGAAGGTTGAAAGTAATCCTCACCTAGTCATGGAAAAATTCAAGTAACCAGAACTTTCCATTTCCTAAGCTTTCCAGTTAATGAAGATTGACCTATACATGGTACCTTGATGGACATTTCTACCTGAGTGATATAGACATTGGGAGAATCCAGCAAATTGAATAAAACAACTTAAAAAAGCACATTGAATACAGGTTGGTGACATTCTGCTGTTTTTCCTGCCCCTCTGCACATCCTTTCTTGGTTTCCTTTTACCTTAACCTCCTCCCCACCTCTAACTGTGGGTATTCTCCAGGGTCTGTCTGTCCTTGGCTCTTTCTCAGGGCAGAGCATCCATCTCACCTGCACGGTCCACTCCAGTGGATCATGGCAGGTGGCGTCATCTTTCACCCGCATGCTTTTGACTCTCCAAGCTTTAAATCAAGCCCAAATCTTTCTCCCCAGTTCCAGATCTCTCTATTCACCTGTACATTTGGCATTCGACCTGGCTTTTTCATTTCTCATATTCAATAGGTCCCAAACGGACCTGGACATTTCTCCCTTGAATCCAGTTCATTTTCTATATTTCTATTTCTATGGATGGTGCTTCTATTCCCCAAGTATCCAAAGCAGAAACCTTGGAGTTATCTTTGATGCCTCCCTTTTTCCTTAATTTCTAAATCCAGTTGATCACCAGTCAGTCATTCAAGCTTTAGAACTTCCTCCCAGGTTTCTACAATAGCTTCCCAATAGGTCAGCTTTACTATTCTACAACCACTCTCTGCATTGTTGACAGTCATTTTTTTTTTAATTGTAAAGCTGACCTTGTCACTCCTCTGCTTAACACCTTTCAGAGGTCCACTAGGGCTGGCAGTATAAATCCTAAGCTCTTTGGTCTAGATCCAGAACCTCCCACGCCTTGGCCCCAGTCTCAGTTCTTGGGCTCTCACCCTCCACTCTACATTCCAGCTGGGGTGTGGCACTTACTACTGTGCTGTTAAGTAGTCTGTGAATTGTGCCAGACTCATTTACTTGCATGCCTGTGCACACGTTGTTTTCCCTTTCTTGGCACACTCAGACTTTTCCCACCCACCCTCACCTCCACTTGGCCAATGTCACAGCCCTTGGAATGAGCTTGGGGGCCACCCCCTCACTCTACCCAAACTCATCCATTTTATGTACTAATATCGTCACCTGCGAATACCTCCACCAGGACATTTTTCGCACTGGGCTGTACCCCTCTGCTCACTTGTTCATTTCCTAATAGACAAGAAGCTTCCTGGGAACAAGGACTGGGTTATATTCAGTGTTGTATCCCTTGCACCCAACATAACACCTGCCTTTTCTCTGGAGAAGCTCTTAATAAATTGAGTCAATAAATAAACACTTCTAGTTTTTTGAACTTTGTCTTGTTTTGAGGTTAAACTATTGACAAGTGAGTGTTAACTTCTCAATCCAAGATATCTTGAGTTGTGTGCTCTCTGGTTTGGCTCCTTTTCTCTTCCAAACAGCATTTTATATACCTCCTATGACAGCATAAACTACCTCAATAACTCACCTACAACAGAGTGGGCATTTTGCAGAGATACTGTGCCTGTGTTTATTAACTGGCTCCACCCAGAGCATGGGAAAGCTGGTGCTTTGCACACAGAAGTGGAAAATAATTCTCACGCAAGACTGCACAATATTTCTACCCCTCCTTACCCTTGCCTATGCCACCCGCATGATGGGCCTAGGGCATCTCAACAACGGTGGCACCTGTGGGAGCAAGAGCCCTGGGACACCCTCCTCTGAGTCTTTCTAAAACACTCATTAGCCTGAGCACAACTATCATTAAAAACCTGCTGCTAAGTCTAAAATCAGTCTTATGAATTGGTGCTCACTGCTTTGCAGCCTGTCAACCCTACTATTACTTGGCATAACTTCATTTCTTCAATCCTTTCTTCATTTCTTCCATCAGCCCCTACAGGCACTCTGATAAAGGGACATGCCAAACATTAATATCAGTTAATTTTATCATTATCATTTCACATCTTGGAGAGAAGTTCCTGACAACCAGCTAAGAAAACAAACGGAAGCTGCTATGGAGCAGAAGCAAATCTTGGAGCCACGAGAGGCTACAGAAGGGAGAGGGAGAGAAGGGAAGCTGGGAAGGGACCGGAAACACAGGATGCCTGCTTGATAATCCTGCCCAGTGAAAGGCCCAATAAAGCTATTCATATTTCAAGTGCAGTTTTGATTAAATTCCAAGGACAGCCAGATAACTTCCTGGTTAAAACAATCCTTGACCCTCAAAGCCTTGGAAAAAAGATTACTTAATACAAACAGATCTATGAGATACGATTTCTAGAGGGAGACATATTTCACATTTCAATGTTTTTTTCTCAGAAAAAATACCTGGGAAGCAAAACAAACAAAACAAAGAGTTTCTTCCATCCATAAAATCAACCTCAAAAGTCTGGGTCTTGAAAAAAACACAAATGAGAACTTTTTTCCAGCTCTGTTACAGCCTAAAATCCTCAATGGCTTTTCATGTCTTCATAAAGCCATCTACTCATTGACTAGTGGAGTCTTAGGAGTATTATCTTAGTAGTTATCTTTATGTAAATACCTAGTCTGCTTTGTTTTGATTAGCCTGTATTTAGCAATATTTCACCTGTTTGTATCTCATATTTTCTGTTTTTTGCTGCCATAATTCCTTCCTGGCACTTTCACAATAAACTGTGTTGTCAAAAGATAAGAAAGGTAGTGTTACACAACAGAGAGTACAAAGGCATAGAAGAAAACCACTCTGGTTCATAATCTAAGCCCATCACCCTCTAGTTCTGGACCATTGGGCAAGGAACTTAATTCTTCCATGTGTCGATTACCTAATCTGCAAAGCACAAATAGCAGCATCCCCTTTACAGATCAGTTATGAGGATGATGTTGCTGTTAACGATGGACTCAACAGTGTGCTCACAGACCCCAGGCCTTTAATAAGGCAGCTTTTTTTTAAGATATATATCAGTATTGTCCTACTAACAAATGACCCATGATCATTCTAACTTGTTAAGTTCTCCAAACATAATATGTCCCCTGCCATTAGACATGACATTTTTTTTCCTTCTGCTCCCAGCCAGCAACTATTTAAGTCATTCTCTGCAAAATATTTGCATAATCAGAATATTGAACTATGACTTAATATTAACTCTAGTTTTAGCTTCTCAAATCTAGTTGCATGATACAATTCAAGAGTCGGACGTGACCTTAGCCATCATCTAGTCTAATTGTCCCTCTAAACTAATTGGCAGGCTCATATCTTTTGAGAGATATATGTGTAGTAAGTATGAATATTGTTCCATAAAACAGTAAACAAATGAGTGAATGTCACATTTTCTTATTTTTCAAATCAAATTAAATCTGACCCTGATCCCTCACTCAACTAAGTTGATGGGAAATTTAGTTTGAGTCATTAGTGGGTCTCTCTGTTAGGGCTGTGCAGTGATTCTAGGGGGTGGGTTTAAAACAGGCAGAATGTTTTGGCAAGGCCATCTGGCCTTCATTCATCCCTGAATTAGTGCCAAGGCTATGTGATTCCTTTCATGTAGACAGTTCTGCCACTTCCGTGTCATGCATGGACATAACGTCTTTGCTTAGGCTGGGACACAGGGTCCAGCCTTCTGGAAGATTCTTTGTAGCTATTTCTTCTGAAGTTTTGCTCCTCCTCAGAATGCTGTCAGGGCCCCTTTAGTCAAAGAAACACTCGTATTCTTATCCCTTCTCCATCAGAATGCCTTGTAGGAGCTCGTGTTTTAAAAATAAAAGTTAGGTTCCTTCTGCTTTCCTGCTGCCAGCACAAGCCATCTCTAAGACTAGGTTACGTTTTTTTCTTTTTTTTAGAAGCTGAGAAGGGGGAAAAAGGGCAGAAAAGAAAAAGCAAAAGGACTCTTTTTCTGTTTCTTTTTTTTAATATAGCAAGAAAAATAAAAAACAAATTCCTATCACAAAATAAACTATCCTGTCACATTCTAATAACTAAGTCACAGTCCTTGCCCCGAGGGAGTTTACAATCTGATAGTGAAAAAGAGAACACTGCTAGCTATAAAATAAGGCATGTGGTAGGTGTCATAAGTGAATCAGACTTTGAGTGCTGTGAGAATTGGGAGGAAGGAGACGAATTTGCAGCTGATTTCAGTAAGCAGAGATGGAAGGATCAGTGGAGAGAATTTCATACACAAAGGTGAGAAAGTGAAAGAACACTTTCCCAAAACAGGGGACAAAATGTCGCCTGAATTTTTTTTTCCTAGTAGCAATGTCAGGAAGAACTTGGAGCCCAAATGAGAAGTTGTGACAGTAACTGGTCAGCGAGATCAGCCCCGTGTTGCGGCACAGAGGGGACCGATGGCAACAGGTCTCACGTGGAAGCAGCAGGGACAAGGGGCAAACAAATGGTTCCTGGATTCTGAACTGAGTCTCTTGAGAATGGGGATATCATACACGGCAGAAGTCTAGAAGAAGAGCTGGTTGTGAGCAGGAGAATGAGGGGGAACGGCAGAAACCAAAGTAGCTTTCCTTTGAGGTGCAGCTAACCTTTAAGTGACTAAAAAAGAAGGCCTGCAGTTTGAGAGGTTAGGGATCAGGCTGTGGAATTTATATGAATTTTTTAAAAGCTATCTTGCTAGGCTATGTGGTTCTTGAAGGTAGGGGCTAAATCACAACTCTTGGTACTTGCAGATAAATTTTGAAGGAAATAACCCTTGAAGCTGGGAATGCCTCCAAGGAAAGGAAGAGAAGAAAGGAAGAAGAAAGAAAAAAATAAGAAAGGCAGGTAACAGAAGGAGGGAGGAGAGTGAAACATCACAGAAGGGAAAGGAGAAGAATTCAGCAAGGGAATGGCTAAGGTGTAGTCAATGACATTCGTTAAATGATGGAGAGATGTCAGTAAGGAAATGGACTGAGAAAAGCCACCAATTTTGGCATGTAGGAGACCCCTGGAGACCTTGGATGGGGTAGGTTGGATAGAGTTGATGGGTCAGAAACCCCACTGGGAGTGTCTAAGGAGTAACAGGTAACCGAGTGAGTGGGCAGGGCTCAGTGAGGATGATAGCAACTAAGGAATTGTGCGGCGCCTCTTGGTACTGGGATATCACTGTGATATACATACCGAGTCCCTCAATAAGATGGCAGTTCTGGGGTTCTACTGACTCCACTTCTCGAGAAGCATTCATTCTTTCTCTGTAAAAGATAAAAACCAACCCTAAAGGTCGAGGCACAGCCTTCAAAATCTATGTCTAAATGTGGCCTTTAATCACCTTCACATTGGTTAATTCCCTTTATCATAATTTATGAATGACATAACAAGAAAGTGGCCACCTCCATTCATTTGTTTCTTTATATAATGTAAACATTATGTGGGTAATATATCTGTCTCAGCTGACCTCACTCAGTTATTGCTGAAAGATTAAAATGCAATCATATGTAGTAAACACTTTGCTGCACAAATAAAAGACTATTTAATAGTATGAGTAATTGGACAATATTATTAATTTAAATACACAAAATAGCGTTATTCAATTTTCTAAAGTGTTGTCTATTATAAACCTACACTTTCTCCCCTTTATCCTGCCTAGTCTTACCCTTTGAACCCTTCCTTCCAAACTGCTTTCCCAAAATTCAACAGTCTTCTCATAGCTAAACCCCGTAACTTTTGCTTTAGTTTTATTTTTTTAATTTTCTGCTGACTTACTTTGCAAATATGTAAATATTTGCAAATATGTAAATTCATTAAACTGACCACAATTTAAACAATTGGCCAAATTATTTTTCAATACAGTGTTCTTGTTTCTACAGTGAAAAATTCTTTTAACTATCAGAGAGAATTGTAAATTTTTATTAAGCTATATTCAGGAAGACTCTATACTCAGACTTACCTTACAGTCACTTATAAAAAAAATATCCCTTAGATCAACTTTATTATTATTTTTATGGTTTTCTCATTTGTTGCACTGGGGAAAAAAATGTAACAATAAAACTCTCAAGCTGAGCTATAAGGTATTACCAAAAGTCACAAGGCATAAGAACAGATTCTAGACATGAACCTGTGAGATCAGCTTCTGCCCGGAGAAATAAATAAAAACAACCCGAAGATAACTGAAGGCAAGCAGAGGCTTTAGATCCACTCATGAATGTATAGCACTTAACGGGTCTTTCTAGCCCAGGACTGACTTTTTCCTGAGACATTTCCAGAATGGCTATCACCACTGGATCTTCCACATCGAAAGATCAAGTGCCTACAACATGCCAGTTACCACCTGCAGGTTTCAGCTCACTGTCCTGCTGTCTGGCTAGCTCTCTGCCTCTGGGATGGGTGTCCACACCCAGTACTTCGCAGTGTTTAGGCCGGCTTGGGCATGTCTCAGTCAGCCTTGCACCGCTGGTAGCCGGATCCTCTCCTCCGAGTCCAGCACTTCCAATGGACTTTGTTTCTTCGGAAGCAGAACGTGTAGGACGACCCCGCAAAGTCGCCAAAAAATAAACGAGGGCATTTCCGCCTGACTGTTTTAGGAAAGGGGAGCCGTCAGCTCACTTTCGAGATAAGCGATTGTCAAGGGATAGTTTTCTGGATGGGACTGAAGAATGAGGCTCCAAAGCTGCTCATTCCTGCCCATTAGAAAGGCAGTGGTACCAGGCGGCCGCTGACTAACGTGAGGAGGAGGGAAAAAGCAGCGAGGACGACCTCATCAAGATGCCACTCACCTAAGCGCCAGGAACCTCTCCCCGATTAAGGCCAGGCTGGCCCCCAGCAGGGTCAGCGCCACCAGCTTCCCCATGCTCTCCGGGTGCGGGAACAGCGAGCCGTGCCGTGCGCTCGGGAGCAGGGGGCAAGCTGCGGCCCCGCCCGGCCCCGCCCCCGGCACCCCCGGGCACCCCCCGCCCCCACCCCCGGGCAGGTGCGCGGCCAGCCGCGTGTGTCCCGCTCCCGCCCAGCCCTGCGGGTTCAAGGTCCTCATTACGCGCAGGGTTCAAGGAAACCTGTATGCGCGAGATCTAAGTCCAACTTGACGCGAGAAGTCCTAGGAAATTTTTACGCACAAAATTCCTTTTCTCCCCCCCAAGGCTCAACTTGCAGAGTGGAAGTCGGGGACCGCTGACAAAGGTCCGCCGTTCTCTTGACTCAGCAGCTTTAGCAAGAACACCCCCGTTAGTGGACCGGTGGAGGGAGTTTGCTCCTAAAAGCCGCGGAATTCTACCTCAGCTCCTCAAATGGAGTGAGGGGGAAATTGAAAGGGTTGGAGAGAGCGGGAAAGGCTGGAGTTCAGAGCCTGAAACTTCAGGCTTCTGGAAGACAAGACCTGAGATGAAACAGAGACTTGCTCCTGAGACACTGGAAGGGAGAAGGTAATCGAAGCGGAGAGCTTTAACGTGCCCTTCTCCAAGATTTGGCGCGCAGGCCCTGGTCTCCGACCTACATGCCCAACCTCACGGTGCCGGACGTGGTGGGTGTCCAGCTCAATTTGCTGACTAGATGGATTAGTGAATATCAGCATCTTCCCCTATAGGTGGTGGGATAAGGAAAAATCAGAGAAGAGACGGAAAAGAAAGAGGAAAAGGGAAGGTTAGCAGGGCACAGAAAGGGAAAAGTGGTTTCCTTGGGAGGTTAGGCTTTCAAAAGATTGGTCCTTCTTTCTTCTGGGTCTTCAGTTCCTGCCAGGGAGGAATGCACTTTCCCCTCTCGGTGAAGAGCAGGTTCACCGAGGGAAGGAGCTGAGGATGAGGAAAGACTTAAGGAGTTTGGGCAAAGTAACGTGTTCAAGCATGACCTATTTTTATTTACCAACAGAAAGAAATAGTAGTCCTGTTGATTTCAACTAACTATCTGTTGAGAGATCAAGATTTTGCAGACCTAGGAATATTAAGAAAAGAAAAGGTAGTCCCTGACCTAGAGGATACATAACTATAGTATGACTACATGATTATGGGATGAATAATGAAGCCCACCACTTATGCAGCACTGTGTGCTTTGCCTGTGCTTGGAACTTTACCTATGTTAACTCTTTTAATTCTCTTTTAACTCTTTGATTCGTTAAATCTTAAAACAACCTCTAGGGTAGGGAACATTACCCCAATTTTATAGGTGAAAAATCTGAGGCACAGAGTGGTTGTGTGACTTGCCCTACGTCACACAGTTGGTAAGCAGCAGTCAGACAGTCCAGCTCCAAAGTCTTTGCCCTTAACTGTGCTGCCTCTACCACACTGCCTCTATAAACCCTACGGAAGAAGGGTTGTACTAAAAGAACGCTGTAACGTCTAGAATTATATAGATAAGACAGTTCTTTTTAAGATGACTTATTTTATTTATTTTTTTTAAAGACAGGGTCTTGCTCTGTCACCCAGTCTGGAGTGCAGTGGCATCATCATAGCTCACTGCAGCCTCCAACTCCTGGGCTCAAGCAATCCTGCTGTCTCAGCCTCCCAAGTAGCTAGGACTACAGGTGCATACCACCATGCTCGGGCTAATTTTTAAGTTTTTTGTAGAGATGCAGGTCTTGCTATGTTGCCCCGGCTCGTCTGAAACTCCTGGCCTCAAGCAATCTTCCTGCCGCAGCAAGATGATTAATTTTAAAAGAGTGCAAGCAGAGGAGGAATTGAATGTTGTTTCCATGAGGACTCAGGAGGAGGAGGGCTCACAGAGCTGAGGGGCCAGGTGTGATGCAGGCATGCACACTGGGCTTGGGCGTCAGGCTGCCTGGGTTTGGATCCAGCTTGGATAAGGTGCTCATCTTTCTTAAGCTACAGATTCCTATCCTGTAAAAGAGAAGCCACCTCATAGATAGCTTAAAATTAAATGTGATAATAAATGTGAAGTGCTCTTCACTGTGCTTGGTACATTTTAGAAAGTCAATGAAGATTAACCACTAGTTAAGCCTGAACCTCCACTTGAGATTGTAGGCCATTTGTGGGGAGAGACATCATCCCACTGATCATTGTATCTTCCAGTGCCATCCACAGAAATGTGTACTTACTAGTGGCTCAATCAATACAATTAGATGCATGGATGCAAAATATGGACTTGGGAGAAAGAAAAATTAGAAGAAGAAGAATAAATGCAGTAGATGATGAAATAGTAATAATCATACTATGAGCTAAGCATTTGTGTGCCTTATCACATTACTTCTTATTAGCCTCACTTTGCAAAGAAGGAAGGTGAAGCTTAAAGAGGTTGATTAATAACTCACTTCAGGTTATATAACTAAAATGTCAGAGCCTCCGTTTGGACTCAGATCAAGTGACACTAGCATTCATGTTCCTTATCACTGTGTTCGCGGCCTTGCAGCACAGCATGAAGAAGGGGGTAGGAAAAGAAGCATATTCTTGGGCAATTGATTAAGGGTGCTGAGTTATCTATAATTTGTTTAAAAATTCTTCACTTTAGGCAAAGGAGTGTGTCTCTGTGTGTGTGTATACATTAACTTCAGACCTTAGAAGTGGTTAGTTTTTATTGGAATACCATAATCAGTAATAAATCCCCAGTATGGTAAAGTAGCATTAAAGAATTCCAAATTTTGGAGGCTACCACATCAAGTGTCACCATTTAAATCTGCACATGGAGAGTTTTTACTCATTAGCACAAGAGATAATAGAAATAATTATTCATGGTAAAGCCAATTTTGTTCAAAATATGTGGATTTAGTGAAAAATATTGTACGTGCAGCTCTAGCTCTGTACAGAGTAAGAACAAAAACAAGGAGGCCAGCATCCTCATACCTCCGGAATAGGGTCTGGGCTCTAGAACACTGCTGAGTGCTGTGTCCACAAGATTCTACTTTCTGATCTGGGGTGAGTTGAATCCTCCTTTTAGAACTCAGGCTCAGGCCCCTTTTTTGTTAGGGGCTCATTGAAATATCAGAGCTGGGACTCCACAGAGGTTGCAGAATAACAGGTCATAGAATGGTTTCCATGCCTGCTTGTTAATAGACATTCATGTGCAACAGATTTGGGTTTGAGCCTTGCGTTGATTGGACCATACTACCTGGCAGTGAGATTATGGGAAAGGGACCTATAACTTCATCCATATCTAATCTTTGAAGACTACCAATTGTCAGGCAGCAAAAACACCCTGGCAATTGGCCAAATTGGCTGGTCAAAAGGCCACAGACTATATCAGTGTGGTAAAAGAGGTTTGTTATCATTGAAAGAACAAGTCAAATGAATTCAAAAGTCCTAAGTTCATGTTCCAATCCCACTTGCAACTGGCCCTTTAATCTTTTAGAAATCACCTATCACCTCTGGGCCTTTCTTACATGTACAGTTGGGCTTTTCAAAGGGCTAATATGGACCAAATGAAATAGTTTATGTCTAAACAATAAGTAGCACAATACTGCATATAGGTCTAGTGAGTCCAACACCATTGATAATCAAAATGCCATTCGGGCACCTGGAGAATGTACATATGGTATAATTCTATTATGTAAAAAATAGGGGAATTATCTATTACATGCATGTGTGTATATACATAAAAACCGTCTAGACAGAAACTGAAGAGTAGTTATTTCAAAAGCAGGAGATTCAGGTCCCAGAGAATGGGGAGATTGGCGACCATGAAAGGAGTCTTTGCTTTCACTGTATGATGTTCTGTGATGTTTGAAATTTTTAAACCATGTGTCTTGATCATTTTTAAAAAGAATTTGTAACAGCGAATTTTGCCCAGAAAAAGAGGTTGTAATAGAAGGGAAGAGCAACAAGTCAAAAGAGAACAGGATTATATCACAAAATAAAGCTGTTTTTAAAGAAAAGAATATGGATTTTAGAATATTAGGAAACATTGTCCTAAGCCATAGAGACCAATATTTAAAACCTGGGTAGAAACAAATGCTAGTCATTGATATGTGTCTTACGCTGCTTGGGAGAGAAAAAAAGAGAACCACAGACTTGTATTATTCTAGGAAATGATTTACATTATTTAGAAAAGTTATTATTTTAAATTTATATTTATTTAAGTATTTTAGGTATACTTGAATTTAAATAAAATTCTCAATTTCACTCTGAGGATGCACCTAATAATGAAGCCTCGTGGTAAATGTCTAATACATCGTTCAGTGACTTCCTGCAACCTACCACAGGGAAGGAAGCTCAGGACTTCAGGTGCAGCCTGTGCTGTGCTGGGAGTCACCTGTGCTGAGTGCATTTAGCAGTGGGAAATACCAGGACCTCATCAGGCTTATGTTTCACTATGTAAGTACCAAGTGAATGGACGGTGTCTCAAGGGGTCAGGTCACACTTCACCAGAAAGGGCCTTTCCAGATTTATCTTCCACTTTAGCTCTCTTCAGAGGATCCTTCATTAATATTCTGTAGTCCCTCAGTGATTCTAGTTTGGGTCACATCTCAAGGTGGATCCAACATTATATATTATTTGATTCAATATGAACTTATCGCACTGTATGACCAGGAAAAGTGGGAGTTAGGCAAAAGAAAGGGCTCACAGAAAGAGGGAAGGGAAATTGGAACAGAAATGAAGTCATTCCAGCTCGGATATAGCAATGATTCTCAAACTTCAGCAGGCATAGAAATGACCTGGAGGGCTTTTAAAGCCACAGATTGGCTGTTCCTACACCCAACATTTCTGATTTGTTAGATTTGGGATGGGGCCTGAGAATCTGCATCTCTAACAAGTTGACAGGTGATGCAGATGCTGCTGGTCCAGGGACCACACTCTGAGAACTACTGAGCATAAAGGACTGGGAGGAAGATGGTGAGATTTGAATCTAGAGAGGTAGGCAGGGTGGCCTTGAAGGCTGAGTTAAGAAACTTAAATTATGTCTTAAGGGGCATTGGGAAACCACTGGAAGTGATATGACCCAGTAGATGGTTTAGAAGCATCAC